TAAACCTCCAGGTACAAGAACTTACATCAAGTCAAGCTTTTACTTTCAGCTTAAGTACCTGATTTTTCAGCTCATATCATGTGAGTGAATATTTAAAGTGTCCCTCTCTCTCTCTCTCTCTCAGACCCCTCCAACCCCCCCGCCCCCTCCGAGCTCCGGGTGTCCAACATGACCTTCGGTCCGGGTCGGGCGGTGTCGGCTCGGCTGCAGTGGAGCGCGCCCAACGACCTGGACGTCCCCGTGCATCACTACAAAGTGAGCTGGAGCTGGACGGCGTCCGGACAGCCGAGCGCTTCATCGCTGACCAAGAGGAGGAAGACGGTCAGAGAGGTGAGGATGGACGGACACTGCGGTGTGACAGAGTGCGTGCGGCAGAGTCTGCAGACTACGATTAAAGACCTTCAGCTGAGAGTAAAACTCGAACCCCTGACCTTCCAGTTGGGACGACCAAGCTCAAGAAATATCCATTTAAACATGTATATTTTTATAAGTAATAAAGAAGCTCAAGTCTGTTGAGCTTCTGTCTTTAAAGGTTTTTAAACATTACAGTCGAGCTGTGTTTACTGACACTGTGTGATCAGATCAACAGAAGGTAAAGCTTTTATCAAAGAGTGACAACATCTCAGGTCTTAAATTGTCCAAAGCCGTCTCCTCAGGAGGAACAATCATGAGAAGTTCCTCCTCACGCCGTCTGAGTCTCTGGATGTTAAATGTGATCACATGTCAGTGATGTCATTTCTCGACTTGATTCCTCTTGATGCTCGTCTCAGACACACAGTGCAGTGTTCAGACTTTTAGATCTGACTCAAAGGAGCGGTGACGGAGCGCGGCGTACGTGTTGGGAATGTAAACAGACAGGTCACGTTTAGCGACCGCTCGAGGAAAGCTGCAAGAAAAAAAAGCAAATTGCACGAGCTTCTAGCGCAGAGTTTTCAGATGTTTCTCATCTAAACGACCCCGACTAAAAGATGAAGACGTTGTTAATAACGTGACAGACGGGTTGACTCTCTTCTTGTGTGTGTTCACGTCTGCAGAGCCAGGTGGAGCTGGACAGCATGCGGGCCAACAGGAGCTACAGCGTGGAGGTGCAGGCTGTTTCATTCTGGGGTCAAACTCAGATCAAAGGGCCCCGAGCCATCCTGCACTTCAGCACGCAGCGAGGTACGACGCCTTTCTCTAAACACTTTATTCCAAACACGAGAGCTGAATGTTTCCTCTCCTCCTGTGTGATCTTTGGATGATTTCACACTGCTGTCGAGAGTTTTTTTACAAAAAGTCTACCTTTTCAATTTCAACACCTGAAAGAGTTTCTCTCCTGTTTGAAATCTTTGATCCTCCTCGTGTCTCCGAGCTTCACTCCTCCCAGAATCAACCTGAAACTCACACACTTCTGAGCCTGATGGAGATTTATTCATCTTTTTAGTGATACGTCATCATTATTAACTCCCTGTTTATGACACTTGAAGTTTCATTGTTGTTTCTTTGTGTTGAAGCTTCCAGCACCGCCCCGAGACCCCCGACAGGAGACATTTTGGACGTTGGGACGCCGTTTTTTCAGGACGGACAGCTCAGAGTTCATGTTTACTGGCAGAGCAGCACAGGTGTGAACACTCTCCCTCTGACCTCATTATTTATTTTTCATATCTGACCCTAATCCTCTCCTATAGACGGGTCTGAAAACAGCTTCCTCCTGGTTGTCACAGTTATCTCTTGTTGTGTTTTCCAGATCCTTCAGTTGAGTATTACAGAGTCCAGTGGAAACCAGAGCACTGTGCACACAACCAGAGCAGAGCCCCGGAGAAGATGAACACACAGGTAACCTCTTGAAACCACGCCCACATTAAAAACCTTCTGGCTTTCAGTCAGCACACTTCCTGATCATATTTGTGTCTTTGTGCGACGCAGGAGAGCTTTGTGAGCCTGCAGGATCTCCTCTTCTCCTGCAAGTACAGAGTCCTCCTGCAGCCGCTCAGTAAGAAGACTCGACCCCCTGCAGAGAGCGCCGTCTTCTTCACTCCGTCCTGCGCCGCCATCCAGGCCAAGAGCCCCAAACCAATCACCTGTCACTCGGGGAAAGGTGAGAGAAAAGCAATCGCGTGTGCAATGTTTTTAATCGTCAACAAAAAGAGCAGAAGGATTTGAAACATCCTGGTTCCCCCCACAGCTCCCCCTCAGAAGGTCCTGATCAAACCGGCCAACCTGACGGCGGCCTTCGAGGTGCGAGGAGGAAACCTGACGGCCATCTTTAGCTGGGATTTGTCCCCGCCCCCTTCCTACCTGCAGCTGACGGGTTACCAGGTGACGTGGACGGAGGTCATCCCCGCAAACCGACCCAACGACAACAAGCTGCCTCACAGCCTCATCTCGCAGTCTCAGATCCTGCCGCCGGTCAGTGCCGCTTCAGATCCTCTGAATGTTCAGTTTGAGTCTCTAAAGGTGGCGCAGGAATTAGAGACGTGCCTGTTAACTTCTACTGATGACACTGAAGTCAGAGTCTAGGACTTTAGTTGTTGTTGCCGTGGTAACACAAAAGTATTCAGGCATCATGACAACCCTACGTTACTCCTACTTCTACATCTTCTTCCTCTCATGCGACTTCTTCTTCTCCTCCTTTCGTCTCCTTCTTCTTCTCCTCCTTCTTCTGAGTCGTCTCCTTTGTTGACTTTCTGCCTCGTCATTTTGCCCCGTGCTCGATTGAGCTGAAGACATTAAAAACATTAAAAGTGGAAAAACTGTGCAAATGCTCGGGCAGAAAGCTGACCCCAATCAGGCCGACGCTCGGGTTGTAATTTATCTTGAATTAAATCTTTGAATGGCAGACACACCCACCCTGTGACTCAGAGGGCTTTTCAAACACACAGCCAACAGAACTTGAAAAATGAAGCTCCGACTTTGATCCTGCACCAAGATGTGTGCGACTTTACTTTCCTATAAATCCAGAAAGTATCCCTTACCACCAGCTTTTGTTTGTTTGTCTCTTTCTTCCCTTTTAAGCAGTCAGTCAGATTTGGTGTTTTCCCTGCAGACAAATCTCAGGGTTCACTGAGCTGACAAACATTTCCAACACCTTCAGATTGCTGCTTCTCTCCAATTTCACACACCTTGAGCACATTTTAAAATCTTTTACCCCTTCTTCCTCTCTCTGCTCGTCCTTCCTCTTGCTCTCCTGCAGGACGCCAACGTTCTGGTGGTGTCCAGTTTGCATCCTGACAGTGTGTACAGGCTGGACGTCCAGGTCATCACTGCAGAGGGAGAAGGTCCGGCGACGTCCAGAACCTTTCAGACGCCTGGGAACCAAAGCACGCTGAGACACAGTAAGAGGAGACGAGAGCTCAGAGACAGAAAATAAAAGATATAGAGAGGTGTTTGCAGAAAGAACAGGATGATTTCTTCATTAAAAAACCTTCAAGAACCACGTACCTCAGTGTATTATTACAGATACTGAATGCATATTTCTCCTCATTCAGGACCGAGGACGAGGAAGCTTCACCAAAACCTACCAATCATCGAGAGGCACTGAACCCAGACAGCCAATCAGCATGCACGAACCATCTCTCCCAAACTCAGGACGACCAAGACACCACCGAACAACGAGCCTCTCGCCTCAAGTTTGCAATGATTTCAATCCCTCCGCGCAAAATCTGACTGCAGTTTGATCCATTTCTGTTCAGAACGTCGACTCGGGACAAACGATCGATTCACTGACCTCGACACGTGCAGCCAGCAGGTCCGATTTAACTCACCCAAGCGGCCAATCATCGACCACCATCTCATTGATTTACACTTTCATCACAGCTGATATGACATCAACATTTCATTCTGAGACCGCTCCTGAAGCAGCGGTAAAAAAGATTATGCAACTTGCACCTGATAGAGAAGTTTATCTTCCCTTTGACTCCCTGAGAAACATCTCAGCTGTAGTTGTGTGTGAAACGTGTGCGTGCATCATGTTAGCGTGTAGAAACAGTAGATTTACAGAGACGTGTTACCTGCAGGGCTGGGTATGTGTGTTTTGTTTAAATGTAGTTCACTTAAAAAAAAAAAAGCGAATGACAAACCAAAAGCTGCTTCCTCTGATGGACAAAAACAACTTCCACATGTTTAAAATGTCGTATAAACTTTTACAACCTGTGAAAACAGAATGCGATGATTTACAAAACATAAAAACTCAGTTCATTTAATTTAGATTTTCATGATTTAGAGAATCGACCTGGTGCTATGCATGGTGGGAAACAGTACGTGAGGGAGACTGGTCTGATGCAGACTGTAGATTTTTCCAGAGTCAGTACAACATCCTGGTAGTTTTGGAAAAATGCAGATCTTGCATTTGTTCTCATACTGCATTTTGGACCAATCAGGAAGAACAACTATGATACTAGGCGGTTTAGAAATCAGCATTTACTGATTTTTGCATTTCACCCCCTGGTGGACATTATGAAGAATGCAGCTTTAAAGAACCGAGGCTACGTCCACTGTATGACAGTTTAGGCTCCTGATTAAAAAAACGTGATGCCCAGCCCTTAACGTCTTGGAGTCCTTTAGATGGAAATGCATGCAAAACATCCAAAATGTTAAAGTGTCATTGAGTGTTACCTGCACTATATCTGTACAGTCGTGTAGTTTCCTGTTCTCTGTACATTCTGTATAAAAAGTTAGTCTGTATTTATTATTTTGTGTGTATCTGTATGTGTGCTCGGCCTTTTGTAAACCTCTAGAGATCCTGTACAAAGATGTTTTATAACTAAAGATGAATTCCTCTTCAACATGTGCACGGCTCTGTTTTTTTTTCCATTTCTGATTTATTTGATCTTTTTTCTTCTCGCCTTCCTCATGTGCATTCGTCTTCAGTACCCAGCAGTGACCTCTGTCCGCTCAGAGGATGTTTAATGACGGCGCATCCGGGGTCGTGTTCCTGCAGAGAGACGACAAAAAAACAAAGACGTGCGCTCTTATTCTATCTCTGGTACTGCTGAGTGTGTGCACAAACAAAAGGTTTGAAGCAGCCTTGGGGGATACAGTGTGTTTAATAAGGATGTGTGTCCTTCTCCTTTAACACACAAACACACAGACACACAGAAACACACACACAGCGAGAAACTCTCTGGCTATGATTGCATTATTCCTGCTTTGTCATTTTCATACACCTTTCATGATGTGTGTGTGGATCAGCGGTGCAGGAGGGCATGCTAGCTCTCCATACACACTTTAAAGTTCATACTCGGTGTGATACAGGCTGAAATGAAGTGTAGGCCACACCTACACTTCACCAGGAACACCAGCAAAATTCACCAAACTTGAAATGCCATTATTAAACCGATAACAACAGGAGAGATTTTGGTAAGAAGCCTAATGTTTGCACGATTAGTGAAATGACTGAATGCTCTCAAAGATGTTTCCTATGATGCCCTGGGTGCATTTTTAAACCTGCTGTGCATGTCTTACCTCATTAGCATGCAACTCTACAGCATGCAGCAAACGCAGCACCATCAATGATTCTATATTCATTTATAGGGAAGTTTTATTTTTTTAATTAAATATTACACAGAGTCCCTAAATTCTGGGCCCCTTTCTTTTTTCTTCATGCCTCGTCTGGCGCATATAATCAGTCGTTTCGGTTACACGCCCCACTTTAACGCTCTTGAAGCACATGTGTGTATGTCTCCATTAAACCAAATGACTTCAGCAAGTTAGTCATCCGGGAAAACTGTCCGAGTGCTATCAAGAACTGGATGTGCTGTAATTCTCGTCAGCTTAATTTAGACAGAAGGAGAATTAAGCATCTTTTTTAAGAACCGTTTAAACCGCACCCTGCAGAGGAGAGGTCAGTTATTCATTTTTAAGAAGTTACTTTGAACATATTTTGTGTTAAGCAATTTTTGAACGCTTCACCCTGACGCTAACACAAGTGTCTGTGAAGTTCAAATAAGAAGTCAGATCATATAAATACATCATTTTAAAAAAGGTGAAGGCTGCAGGAGCCTGTCCCCTAATAAGGTCTATTTTTAGATGTTGTGTCTAACTGTTTGTAGTTTCTGCTGTCCTCTGCTCCACATATCAGAGTGTCAGCAGCAGCTGTGTTTAGCCTCCTAATGCTCTGTGTATGCTAATGAAGCTCAGGTGATGGAGCATCATCTGATCATGTGACAGAGGGTGGAGGAGGCTGCACACAGACGCACTGTGCAGGGAGTCCATTTAGATAAAGAATCGCTCAGCCTGCAGCGTAAAAACATCTTTACTGAGGATTTATGAGCATTTCAGGGATTTTACCCAACAGGCCGGAAATATGTTTACTAGGGAGGAGAGAGGAGGCTGCAGAGGAGAGCTGAAAATATCTTCTTTATTACAGTTACATCACTCTGAGGAGAGATTAGAACTGGAATGCAAAATATCAGAAAATTTGTGTTTCTTTAGGGAGCAATTCACTCATTAAAATGTGAAAATAAGAGCACCAGTTTCTTTTTGTGTCTTGCAGGTAAAAACTTGCTTATTCAGTTTTTCCGCCTGACTGACTATAAGGATTGTAAACCTTTATAAATCAACCTGAAGACAAACAACAGCAGAGAACTTGTGTGTAATTCTTGTGGGTTTTTCACGTTGTTTTCTGGGTCACCGACTCTGAAAATGTGCCTTTAATTTCCTGCACCGTGCAGATCCCACTGTGGTGTTTTCATATATGACTCAACATCTCATGCATGGTGTGAGAGTTCAGAAGTGCACCCTTCCCCCCCTCCTCCCCAAACACTTAAAAACTTGGCCTAGGTTTAGATGGAAAAACAGAATTGGATTTTTGATGTGTTTAGCATCAAAGGGATGCATTTTCTCCCTGAAACAGACCGTGTGAAATGTGCATTTGAAAGGAATTTGAATGAGACGGAGACCTGCTGTGATGGGGTCACAGTGGGAAGCTCTCTGTGTCTGTCAGAAATGAATTCTTTGTTTATGATCCTGCTCTGTTCTCTGTCTCTAAAGCACTGCTTTGTGATCATGTCAACAACATAATAATATTAAAGGAGCATTTTTGTGATCAAGCCTCAGGATTTTACTGACCTTGGCGCTCACTCCCTGTTTCTGTCCAAACGTATTAAAGGTCACATATCCTCCTCCTCCTCCTCATCAAGTTTAAATAAGTCTCAGAGCTCCTCAAAACATGTGTGTGAAGTTTCTTGTTCTAAATCCACTCTGATCCTGTATTTGATCATATCTATAAACCTCTCTATTTCAGCCCTGCTGCTCAGAACAGGCTGTTTCTGTGTCTGTACCTTTAAATATGTAAATGAGCTGTGTCTGACCACGCCCCCTCTCTGGAAGGGCTTGAGTGTACTCGGTGCTTTCTCGCTCCATGTTCTATTGTTTACGGTGAGAAGGCAGACTCAGAGGGCAGAACAAACACCTAGCTGTGGGAGTGTCACCCACCTGGGGGAGGGGCTACTGCCCTTTGTGATGTCATGAAGGGGAAATCTCCAAACGGCCTGTTTGAGCACACATTTTCTGAAAAGTAGAGCAGGCAAAAGACAGAGAGGATGGACTTTTCTCATCATTGGGGGGGTTTGAAGACGGACTAGAGACACATGTTAGAGTTAGAGGAACATGGATTGTTTATTAGAATAAGACTACATGTACATTTTCAATCCCCTCTTGTTGCTGCGGTTCAGCGTCACACACACACACACACACAGACTAAAGCTGTGCAGAGACACTAACTGAAGTAAAGCACGACACTCCATTCTTCATTTCCCCGTCCTCCTCACAGGCTGAAGCGTTAAGCAGATGGAGTGTGAAACACAGCTGAGAGGAGTGCATCGACATGCGTGTGCAAATCTGCAGGCCGCAAAAAGAAGTTGCATGCAGTAATCCAGAACCGAACGATCGGGCTCTTTTGAAGAAGAAGAAGAAGAAGTGCTGTCTGGTGGTTTTTCTTAATGCTGATTTGTGTTCCGTGTCTGATCCAACACGGCTTCAGGTCCTCGGGGATCCAAAGAATCACTACGGAGCGGTGAGAAAGAGACACAGATCGATTCTTCTCAGGCGGATTTCAGGAGCAGTCTCTTCTCTTTGAAAACACTCCAAAGTACAAAGAGTTACAGGAGGAGAAGCGAGCCTTGTTCTTGGACACAAAACCCTCTGATCTGAACCTCAATCCACCCTACAAAACAATCCATTCTGAAACACTGAGGACGAGGAAGAAAAACTCTAATGCACCAATTTACACAATTTCAAAGCTGTCTCATTCTGTCCTCTTACTTTGGTGTTTGTTGTCACTTCCTTGTTTTATTTTGTAGTCTCTCTGTCCTCTTGTTTCAGCGATCTACTTCCTGTCCTTGTGTGTTGCCCCGCCCTGATTGTCTTCACCTGAGCCTCATCAGCCTCCCCTTAGTCCCGCCCCTTCCTGCTTACACTGTGACCTCCTAACCCGTGTGCTAAAATAGATTTTATCCACCAAACACACAAAGAACTCTCCTCTGGCTGCAGAGAAGTTGTCTAAAGCTGTCCATGATGTTCCCCGTGTGTGGCCCAATGCATGCTGGGATGGACCGGCAGCTCCTGGAACCTACACCCTGAAAGGTGAGTTCAGAAAACGACCTCAGAGTGGACACATTGGTATGCGTCAGACTTGCAGCTTTAAAAGTCTGCAGACTAGTGAGCTTTAGAGTTTGGTAGATATAGATGATAAAGGTAAAAGATTTTTAAAGACTTTTAAAAAATGTTGCAAATCACGTTTTCAGAAGAGCTCGTGTCGTTCACACCCTGCCGTATAAACCTCACCTTTTGTTGGGCACGGAGCTTTATTCTGCATGAACTGAATCATGACAATCTAAATCATGACGGGCTCTACGGTGGCTGACGAGGACGAACAATCAGCAACGAAAGAATTAATTTACTCTTGGAAAAACATGAAGAACCTTCACGCAGATGCTGCTGCTTGAAGCTCGTCAAGAAAATCGTTGCTTTTGTTTTGGACTTTTGCACGTGTTGTTTTGAATTTGCATCGTTTCTGAATTTGTTTCACGATTTTTTTTATATTTCTTATGACGTGTGAACATCTACTACAAAAACACCAACATGAAACATAACTCTGATCCATGAAACGTACACAAATGAACGTCAAATCACCACGTTTCAATCATCATTATGATAAAACAGCACCCTCTACTGGACTGTAACAACCCGATCCTGCGTCCCATATTTGAGCGCAGAATAATTCAGTTTCATGTACCTATAATGTGACAAGCAACATCCCTGTTTTTATAGATAATGAGCAATGGAGCAAATCAAATCAGCGAGAAATGAATCCATTCATGCAGAAGAAGCAGAAAGCTTTCCTGCTGTCACACTGCAGCTCCACGTGTCTGCACACACACACACACACACACACACACACACACACACACACAGAGCCGTGTTGTTTGCGAATGCATCACACCTGTCAGGAGAGACGGCTGACCTCGTTTCAGACACACAGAGAACTTACACTGTGTTCTCCTGCAGGTCTGTGAATTAAAGAACGCCTGCTTCATTTAGCTGCTCTCGGGTCGTATCTGTGGATCGAATGCGTCACCGCGGAGCAGATTTCATCATCCCTCATCATGACTGAAATAATTCCCATCAAATGTAGAAAGTGCACACATGCCAGGGCGTGTTATTGTCGTCTCTAAGTCACTGATTAAAAGCTCACATGCTGCTGATGGAGGGGTTATTGATGTTTGTGACTCACATGACAGAGACTCAGTGTTTCATGATCAGCTGCAGATTTGATTGGAAAACGCTGA